ATTTATAATGCTGTAAATCTGGGCAGACATAGAGGGTTGTTACCTCCAGGTTAAACTTTGACACCAAATTCTCTGCTTATTCCCTGAAATGGCTTTGGTGCTCTTCATTGCCTGCTCCAACACACACTGACATTTAATGACATTGCAACAGCTCACTTCAAAATTCCTGTCACATTAAATGCTTTCAGTTACCTGTTCTCCTGGGCCTCGGAACGAAACGGACCCTGCACGACAGATGCTTAGCTGCTTTTGATGCAGCCAGTTACTGGGGAGAAGGAGTAATCTAACTAGACAGCTGAAGTTACCTAATTATCCCCTCCCCAATACTGTACTGGCTAAAAATTCCATCTTGTTTAATACCTCTGTATGTTAATTTCTGTGTTATCCCTACTGTACAGGGTTATTGATAGTGGAAGGAATCCTGCCTTTTGTTACAATACGGATGGAAAACCTAAAACAACCCTCCAAAACATCCCACTACCAAACCTTTAGCTTCAGGATGAAAGATTTCACTCTGTGTAAAAGTACTTCCTTCCAGGATCTGAAGGGACTACAGGGAAGCTGGAGAGGGACTCTGTTAGGAGCTGCAGTGACAAGACAAGGGACAATGGGTACTAATGAAAGAGGGGAAATTTAGGCTAGATATTAGAAAGAAGATTTTTCCTGTGAGGGTGGTGAGACACTGGCACAGGTTGCCCAGGGAGGCTGTGGCTGCCCCAACCCTGGCAGTGTTCACAGCCAGGTTGGATGAGCCTTGAGCAACCTGCTCTGGTGGGAGGTGTCCCTGCCCAGGGCAGGGGGTTGGGAGTGGATAATCTATAAGGTCCATTCCAACCCCTAAAATTCTATGATTAAAACACTTTTGTTACCAAGAAAGGAGTGTACCACATACAGGCACCTTGCTGTCTTGTAAAGAACTAATAGCCAAGCAGAAATCAAACATTCAGCAGTAAGTGACGAATGGTAACATGAATCACAAGTAAAGCTTTGTCTCCACTGTAACAGCTACTCCTCATAGAGGCACTGCCAGTTAGTAGCAGTCTGAGAACCTCAGGAGAAAGAACAGAAAGCCACCAATCTCTGAATAATCTGTTAGAGAAACTTATTCCATCCTGGAGACACTGAAGAAAAACACAGTCTGATAGCAATTCAACAGCTGAATCAAGAGGCAAAGAGAATCCAACTGCGTTTAATTTTCTCCAAAAAATAGTTAATGATTCACTGCTAATCACTGAAGGTGTGTCAGCATGAACAGATGGATATTTATAATTTAATAAACTGTTCATTGCAAAAAGCAAGTCTTCCAGTTTATCTTTCCCTCTGAACGTGAGACTGGCAAAATAATGAGCATAAGAGAAGTCAGGCTCTTTCAAGAATTCCTAGCATTCTGACAAAATACACCAAATATTAATCCCATGTTCTTCTATTTAAATAACACTGCACGCAACCTGCACCTTCCTGGTTTATAACCTGCTGTGAAGAGGAGAAGGCTATCTGTAGCATACAGAGATTGCTGCCAAAGCAATTCAATAACAATTCACTGTCAAAGTACTCATGAGAAAAGTATGATTCCATAGCATGGTATTGACAAGAGATACAACATTTTGGAAGTGAAAACTTTGAAGCCAAGAGAAAGCAGATGGGGATGCTTATGTTCAGCCTCTGTTAGCTACACAATAACTGTGCAAAGAACCAGGTGGGCAAGGAGAACGGAGGTTTATCTAAAAACATGCAGTTCAGACAAAGATGCAAACTCCAAACAACGGGGACAATATTGAGCACTTGAAGCTAAACATTTAAAGGCACTGTTTGTTCCTCACAGCATGTCCTCTGTTCTTTGAGGTACTATGGAAGAAATGACAGTTTGGTTTTCCACTGCTTTGTGATTACTGCAATAAATGCAATGAAAGACAGGACAAAAATTCAACCTGTACTTCAATCTGAAATGCAACTAAGAACACACATTTGGAAATTGGGCAAGCCATTACATCAGAATATCCACTGCACCAATTTCCCTTCCTGTTCTGTGCCAGAAGTGTCTCTCTGTGGTTGAATTCACAGGCAAAGCATATCTAAAGAGGCAGCCAAATCTGAGTTCTGAGATCAGAGTAGTACCATGAAATGGAGTTAAGAAATGCATGAAAACACAATAAAAGTGTCTGGCAATGGAACGAGATCTTCAAAAGGGATGTGGAAATAAAATGTACATACCAGAGTGTAAGATATTGCAGGGTAACAAATGCTTACTCTTCAGACTGATAAGCTTTTTTTCTTGAAGAAAACTAAACAGAGCACACAAACTAAAGGTTCTATAGATAGCAAAACCAAGCCCAATAAAGCTCTCCTAAATAACATCCTCTGCAAAACTCCTATATGCTTGAAATCTAAGGAGGGTTTGTGCAGTCTGTTTACCTTTGAAGTTTACTGCACTTTCAAGAACACAGACTGAATTGGAGCATGTTGCTAAAGAGCAGTGATTTAATTTTGTGAGGTTTCAGTTTCCTATTTTAGTTAAGATTTCTAAACCTGTTGAAATACTGAGCTGTTTTCATGCCTTTCATACACAGTATTACAGAGCACATCTTGGAATTTCTACCTATACCTATTATACTATGTCACTGAAGTGCTGACAGATTTCACTTACTCCTGTTAACACCAACCTCACCAAGGTGTACAGAGAGGTGTCTGGAGCACGATAGGATTATAAGAAAGATTTCATTTGTTTGCATACAGTGCACATGATACTGAACATTGAACCATGGCCCAGGAAAACACATGAGCCCCTGCTTCATTTTGAGGAATAATTTATGTTCTGCTAAGCTTTTTCCTGAATCCTGACTTCAGGATCTTGTATTGGTTTAATACACATTCATAAAAATTAATTCTTCTCCTCTCCACATGTGTCCATGGACACAAACACAGGAAGTGATGTTTGCTGTTTTCCACAAAGAAAGGTTTAGAGAGAAGGACAGTATGTTTTGCCAGATTGAGTTCTATAGCTAGGAAAAACCAGGTGAGCTACTGGTTTCAAAAATCCTTTCTTCATCTTGTCTAGAAGAAAGCAGAAAATAGCTTCACATGCTTTAAGTGTTTTTGCCTCTCCCATCTGTTTTCAGTTAATCTAACAAAGAGAGTTATCCTGTCCCCACAGATCTCATTTCACATCAATCCCAAGACCACCACAGTCACAACATTGCTTCGTTATGGCATGTTCATTATCATGGTGCTGTAAAGCAGCAGGAAGCTGTGAATCACATTTGCATTCAGCAGTCTGAAGCAAGGAGTCATGCCTCACTTACCGCCTCCACTTCTGCTGGGTCATACCAGACATTAATGTATGGATGCTGTAAGGCTTCATCTACCGATATTCGCTTGGCCGGGTCAATGACTAGCATCTTTGATAAAAGGTCCCTGGCTTGACTGGCTAGAACAATGAAATCAGAGAAACACAGTATTAGTACACAACAACCACTGCATTCAGAGGAGGGTTAACTGGGTTAGGAAAAGAACAACAGCACAACCCTTTAAGAGATTGTTTGTATGTACTTCTGCTCCATTGTCTTCTTATGACAACTTCAACAATCATTTTAGGTCAGATTGATTAGGAAGGTGCTAACATCAGCACCTTCATCATCTAACATCATTCAACATCTAACATCAGCTAACATCATTGTAATTCCCCTAACAAACTTCAATGCTATTTCACATGCATGCAGATTCCATGTAGAGGCCTGAATAATATACCCAAGAAAACTGTGCTTGATGTACCTGTGATTATAATCAGGATCAGAGAGCAAAAGTTCACATTACAAAGTCTAAAATCATGACATTAGTGACTCAAAGCCTGAACTTACAGGCGTTCTTATACTGGCTCAGAAAAACATCCAACTGCTCTGCATGTTTGAAAGTTTTTCACCTAGTCTGCTGTGAGGCATCAAATGTTTTAAAGAAGCTTAGGTACTAGGATGATCTTAGGGCATCCCATAAAAAGCATTAATTTCAAATCTTGGCTCAACTCATAGTAGTATGAAAGTGCATTGGAACTGTTTTGGTCTTGTTTGTGTAACATAATAAAGTTTAAATCAGTGGATTTAACTATGTTCCACTACATACATACATACATATATATATATATATATAATATTAAACCATTAACATTGCATCCTGGTGAAGTATTTAGGCAGGGCATGGGATGATACAATGCTGCACAAGTAGGTTTTTTTAATACACTGTTCCTTGTTCTATGAGTCTATCTAAAAAACTGGCATTCAGTATGCACAAATGCATGTGCTTTCTGTATCCAAAAGATAACAGCACTATTTGACAGTCATTTCTATTCATTAGCTGCAAATCCAGGAAAATTCCATTATTCAGTTGTGTTGTAGTAGGAGTATAAAATTCTGTGTATCCAAAAGCATCTGCTCAGACCTTTTACGTTGCTCCCAGAGCCAAGACAGCAGCTTGGCTATGAAAGATGTTAATTGGAAGAAAATTCTGGGTCATGTAATGACATGCAAATTGCAAGCAATTGGAAACCATTACATGCCACTATAGTAAGTGGCTCCAAGTACTTGAGTGCTGCAGAACTGCTACACAGTACAAGTCTGCAGGGGCTCCAGGGCTGTGACAAAAAATGCTTTCTTTACTAAACACACATTAATCACTCTGTTCAATCGAAGGTCAGTGCCCTGTTCAAGTCAAACAAGACTAATATATGATTAAAATCATTGCAACTTTTCTCATACAGGGGTATATCTAATCATACTGTAACTAATTTTACAAAATCTCTTTTTTGGAAAAAAAGAAATCCACCCATAGTGGATATTAAACCTCAGCTACATCATTTGGCTGACGTTGCCAATATCTTTCTACTTGCTAGTAAAGGTAGAGCTATGAGGGAGGCATCTGGCTGAACTGCTATTTTTCATCTAAAACAAAACAGCACAAGTGCTATGATCTTCCAGTGGAAGTTACACTGCTCCTTTGTGTTACAAGCTCAAGAGTAAAGAAACACCTCAATTCCTTGTGGTACAGAAACATCACACAGATATGCTCAATGCATCAGTGATTATGTTCCCTTGGCTGCCCAAGCACCAGGATCTCTAAAAATCATTTCCAAAAGCTGCCTCTCAGCTGAACAAAGCCCATGCAGTCGTTCATCTCTAACTGCATTAAAATGGAAATGCAAAGAGAGAAGAAAAACTGGAAAAACCCTTCACTGCACTGTAGCTCTCGCAAGTGGACCACGTCCCTTTGTCAGACATACCTTTGAGTTTGTTGTGTTCCGAGTCAGCTGGGAAGAGAGAGTCTGGAAAAAGTTTGGGGAAAGTGAGGCCAGCATACTTGGGTCTGTTCTCGACGTAGTTCCGTACTGTTGGCTGCAGCTTCTTCATGAATTCTGGACAGGGCGTTCCCAGCTGCTCAATAACTTTATTCCACTGATCAATATCTGAACACCAGTAGTTAAGGAAAGCAAAACACAAACTCCAGTGTACTCTCCTGGCATTTGAGTGTTCTGTAAGAATCCTCAGAAGTGTTTTTAACTCCCTTCATCACATCTTTACAGTCACTATCTTGTCTTCTCACTATGCTTCTAGGTCCTGCAGATTGCAAAAGGAAAACTCTCGCACGCAACTATATTTACTTGAGGACATTGTGCAATCCTAAACCCACCACCACTGGAAGATACACAGCTTCCACTCTTCGAGTCAACACTTGTTACCATTCTTTTAAAAACTTGCAGTCCAATGACTTCCACTCCCTTTTTTTACATGCAGGTAATTGCCACCACATCACCTTGAGCTCACAGGCACAGCCTGGAAGAACATCGTGCACATCTGCTCTCTCTGTTCAGTCTCTGCAGAGTCAGACCCACCTGACTTAAAGAAGCTCTTCATGGGAAAAAAGTCACCTTCAAGTCATCTGCTTTGCTTACTCTCTCCAGTAACTTTATTGGTGCTAATTTTTCTAATTCCAGCCAACCAGCAAACCCTGCAAAGTAACTTGTTTGATACTGTCAGAATGCACCAGGACTCATTTTCTAGAGACAAGTGATGCACAGGTGTAGACAGATGTTTCCCCTAAACCGAAAATGTGACAGCTGCACTACTAAACTTTTACTAATAAGAAACAGGCTCTCATGCTTAAAAATAAATTCTATTACAGGCAATTTGTACTGAGCTTTTTTTTTTTGTTGTTGTTCTGGTGTTGATTTGCTAGTTTTCTTGTGATTGCAATTAGGCATCTGATAGGTATATAGCTCTTCCAGTCATGTTCAGAACAAGACTTGCTGTGCCAAAAGAGAAAGCAAATGATCAGTACCATCTCTACATCACACTGGCTCAGACAATTCACAGAGTTAGGAATCTGATGACAACATGGAAAAAAACCCAAAGAGCACATGCAGCCATGGGTACATTGATGCTAAGGAATTATGATGAAGGGAGTTTTGTTAACACACTGGAAGTTAAAGGCTTTTAAAAGACAAACCTTCAAAGCATTTCAGCACAGAATTTTTTTTTAAAATTATACTTCTAGGTTATTATTGTCATGAGTGTCGTAAGTGTGGAGGAGTTTCCTGAATACTAAAGACAGTTCCTCACAAAGGAGAGAAATCAGATCAACAAAATGAAGGTAACAAGAAAAAATACTGAAGTCAAGCAAAAAATAGATCTTTGTTGCAGTAGCAGTTTCAGATTTTTTAAGAAAATGGTTTGGTTAAGAGAAATGGAAACACTATATTTACATACCTTGAAAAGTCAAGACAGACTTAATTGTGATTCACCTGCACTGTTTTATTTGAAGAAAAATCCAATAATTCACTTAAAAATTGCAGGTTTACTAATAAAAACTGTTTAAAGGAAGGAAAACAATTTAAACATATGCTTTAACTATGCTGAAACAGTATTTGAGTAATTTTATTTTCAACTGGTTGCTGGAAATAGCAGCAGTCTGTAAATATTTTTCTGAATAACTTCCATTTTTTAAACTAGAGCAACGATTTATGTAGAACAACCTCTCTCTCTCTCTCTCTCTCTCTCTCACACACACACACACACACACACACACACTCCATAGGTATTATGTAACTTATCTGGTGTTCATGAAAAATATCTTTTTCTCAACAGAAATAAAGATATCCAAGGCTACAACTGCTCAAAGAATAGCCTGAATATTTCATTCAACCTTTTGTTAGAAAATAAAGTGGATTGACATTTGAAACTTGTATTCAAGCTAACACACCTCCCTGGTTGCTGGCTGAATTATTTCAGAAGCAATTCTTTCTGAAGAACTTAGGAATACAGAGTGTGTAAATGCTTTGTAAAGAACAGAGAATACAGAAATGGAGGTGCTGTTAGTTGTGCCAAGAGAAGCTCAATGGGTGAGAAAGCAAAGTTATAAAATCATCACTGGAAGCATCGCCTGTGTGGAATGAGGGAAGGCTGTTTGACAAACAGTGAGGGCCAAATACAGGACTTGCTTCAAAGCAGAAGCCAGAAGCTACTTGTACAGAGCAGGTTAACCATCTCTCAGGCATTCAGTGAAGGCCAAAGAAGAGAGAACTTTGAGATTATAGAATATTATGGGACTTGCACATGTTGAGGGGGAAAATGTAGTAAGATGCTCTAGATGTAAGTGAAAAAGGGCCTACATGGTGGGAATCACTGTCAGTGGTGATGGAGTAGGGGGAAAGAAAATCCATAGACAATGAGCCAGTGCCCTCTGCACACATTTCTTCTAAGTTGACAGAAAAGTTCTCACTAAGAAACAACAGACACACAGACTATCACACAGGACTGGAAGATTTTAAGAGATGGAATCATCAGTGTAAAAATGAGAGCCAAAGTCAAAGGGAGCTATCAGAGCCACCACGTTCTGCTCCTTGACTAGATTTGCAGGAGGACAGCACTGCAGCTTTTGCTTGGCTTGCACCAAGAGCCAAAAGGTCAGGCTGTATGTCACAGCAACTTCAGGGATTGGTTTTAATGAACTGAATGATCTGAATGGATCATTGTGTTTCTTTAGTGTCTTATTTCTGATTCATGTTGCTCATATACTGCCAAAACCCATATACATTCAATTGGTCTTTATCTATATCCATATACACACACAAACACATACAATTACCATGATGGAGCACTCAGGACCTGTTTTTGTCCTAATAATAGCAGTAACAAAACCATGCCCAACAAAGGTAAAGACAAAGCTTTTTTAGTCAGATGGACACACATTTTTGCTCTAGTACTGTTACTCCACTTACCTAGACCTTACTAGCACTGGGTTATATTCTGAGATCAAATACATGAAAAGGTGCAAGAATGTAGTAACATTCTTGCCAAATAGTGGTCTGGCTCCATTTCACTCTAATGTTTTAAACAGTCACCAGTTGTGGTACCTCTGTTTTGAAAAAAAAAACCCCCAAAACTGAGGTCTACTTACAAAGCAAAGTTGAGCAGCTTTCTCTAGCTTCAACAGTTCTGCAGCAAACAAATGGTACTATGGGTACTCATGTGAATCAAAATCTACTGTAGGTGACATCAGCCAATGGGAGATTGTAACTAGAGATGTTACCTGCATATCAGTTGGATAAATGGTACGATGAGTTAATGATCACATAACTCTGACAGGAATTTCCCAGGCAAAAAAAAAAATTAACCTGTATTTGAGTGAATAAAAGCCTTCAAGAAGAAAAACAGAAGGTCCTGTGTTTCCCTTTGAAATTAAACAAATGTTGGACAGACTGAAACTTGGAAAGAATTATACCTCAAAACTCTGGAAAATGATGAAATGTCTGCTTTAAAGTTGCTGGAGTCATCTCAGCTGTCCCTTGCCTCAAGCAGGATCAAGGAAAATGTGTCAGCTATTCACAATAACATCTGTATGATTTAAGACAGAAGAAGGGATCCCACCTGGATTTATTAGCTTGTCTCTGGCACTAACACTGTGGCATTTTTACTAACATTGAGATGGCCATACCGAGTTCCAGCAAAAATTTAAGAAAATAGTTCAAAAATGTGGATATTTTGAATGAAGATTTATCATTGAGACCTCAGGTTGCCTGAAGCTTACCCACCACCTTTTCTCTTTTCACTCTTCTATTGTCCTAAGGCTTATTCTCCTTTGCTCTCTAAATACCTGTTTATTTACTCGGAAGATAACCAGAAGCTGAACTACAGATTGAGACATATTTTTCAAAAGCAAAGGCATAAAACTCCTAATGAGAAAATCATATTTTGAATGAACAAAGAAGTGTTTCTACTGGAAAAATCAGATTCCACAATAAAATCATCTATTTAGAGGTACAGGAGAATGTTTACCAGTGTTTATGTTTCTGTGTGCATTGATGCAATGTGTTTCAGAAGTGTGAATTAAGAAGCAGCATTTTGGTCACTGAGTTGTCCTGCAAATTTCAGCTAAATTACATTTCTGCAAATTTCCAAACAGCTATAAGGAAATGGAGCTTAGCTGTACAGGAAAATTTATAATACTTAGCTGTTCAAACAGAAAATATTAAGAGCATTTCTACAGTGTACAAAGTAATGACTTGTGATTAAAAAGAATTACATTCAGACAAGAAATTACTGTCTTTGTACCTAAGCTACCTAGCCTCAAAATGACAATAATTTTTCTTTTTTCCTTCTTTTTTTGGAACGAAGGATTATATTTTGTTATGTTCCACAGTAAGGTTTTGCAGGAGGAGTTACTGCTTGCCATAGGATGTTTTAGTTGTACTGTGACACAAATAACTTAATGTAATCACTCATGTTTTTTCTCCTGAAAAAGGAATCTTTCTCTAAGATCCTCCTCAGAGAGTATCTATGGACTGATGCGGTAAGCACAAGGAATTCTGCCCAAATGCTTTTGGAACTGTGCTGGATAGTGGTGGTGATGGTGGGGAATGATGCTGCCCTGCCCAGAATAATACTGGACAGCACTTTCTTCACCAGTTAAGCAGCACATCTGCACTAGTTTTACTGCTCTGGAGCAGGATTTGCTCTTCCTGGCTAAATGTGCAGCTTCTGGAGATAGTTAGAACTAGGACATGTCAAATCTTGCTTTTATGAAGGTAGGCATGACAAAAACCAAATGGACATGGGGATCTTCCTTTGTAACACAGACAGGGTAAGTTTACCTCTTTTCAATCTCAGAATCTTAAGGGAATTACCTTTCTAATAGTTTTCTCCTTAAATTTGCATGTTCCACCAACAAAAACTAACTGCAGTGCTTCAGGCAATTTTTTGATCTCCTAGCTTGTTGAAATTAGAATAATTACTATGAGCAGCTGTGTATTTCCTTCCCCAACACAAAACTGTGGCACAAAACTTGATGGCTCAAACTGATGATTTTTTTTTTTTTTTTAAGTTGGACCTTTCTTTTATAAACAAATCTGTTAAAAACCAAACTAATCAGCTTCACTGTGGGAGACATCAGTGTCACATTCATATTTTC